AAGCATATAATGCATAATTCTAACCAATGTTTTTTAATAGATTGATTAATTTAAAATATACTGTAGATTGTTACAAAACTTGACCACTGAAATAAGGCTATGCATGAGAAAGTCTTACCTCTTTGATTTATACTTGGTGACAATGTATATATCCATTATATATATTAATTCATTTATTTTCTTTTCGGCTTAGTCCCTTTATTAATCTGGAGTCGCCAGAGCAGAATGTTTGTTTTTTGACACATTATTTTAAAAATGTGGCTAAGAAATAGCTATTAAGTTCTTTTTTTTTTTTTGGTGGGGCCGGTGAAAATTTTGGCAGGGCAAGTACAAATCTGAACGGGCCAGTAGAAAAAATCATTTGTGTTGAATCCTGCTATGTAAAATATAATATATTCATTTTTAATGTACTTTAAAATGCAACTAATTAAAATCAGAATTTATAGCAGCGGATGCTCTAGTCTTTGTAGAAATCATCATACTTTTTTGTGGCTTTGATAAAAGGAATGATAAAAAAACAGCTTTTGTTTATTAAAAAAAACAAAAAAAAAAAGATTACAAATTTTTTTTTTCATTTCAATTTTATATGTCCTTGTTGAATAAAATATAACTTACTTTCATAAATACATATGACAAAACAATACCGACCCCAAATATCTAATTGGTACTGCTGCTTTGTTAGCTTTTCAAAAGCTAACTGCTTCGTTTTTCATTAGAATTTTTTTAATTAGTTTTCAATTCAAAATTTAATCTGAATCCAATTTTAAGCGACTGTCAAATTTACATTGTATTTTTAATTATATAAACGGATCACATTCTTCGTTTATGACTCAATTTAGAGTTTTTGATTAATATCTGATCCCATACTCTACAGTTATTTGTTGGGACCAAACGCCGCTTAGAGTTCCACACCCCAGGATTGCATTTCTTCTCATGGACACTATTTTGACAATGAAGTTACTCAGAGGATGTAGGGCTAACTAATACCCGAATTAGTCCACTTGCTTCCTGCTCACTTCTACTCAAAAAGTAGTTAATTCAGTCATTTCCATACAACTTGCTAATTAAAAGGTCTTCATGCCACACAGCTCCGTACAGTCAAATGCGCCTTAAAAATTTAAAAAGATCATGTCACAATCTAGCGGTAACGCAGACTCCATATAATCTAATGGATATTAAAGATTTCAGGAGAATTCAGAAAGAATCAAAACTTAACACTTTATTTTCCAGATTAAAGTGTATCATGCCAGTTCAGAAATGTACAACATCAATTACTCAAAGATAAATCCAAGAGTTAGAAATGGATGAAGTACGTTGCAGCATATAAGTCTCTGATGCAAAAGCTCATTGGAACAGGGTATCCTGGCTACAAGATCCCAATGACATTTTTGCACCTTCCCCTTAAATTCTCAACTCAGAACAAACAGCCAGAAATTCAAAACAATTAAAGATTCACAAAAACCCTTATCAAGAGATGATGTCAAGAGTTGGTCAAGAGTTGATGTGTAAATAATTTTCAATGTAGCTTATAGCGGTAGTTCCATAGGGAAGACCATATGTCACGGCACTCATCACAATCAGTTCCAACCAAAAGCCACGAGACACAAGGAATATGTTATGCCACGTCAGTCATTACAGTTGGTTCCAACCATCAGCCAAGAAACAAAAGTTATATATAAGCTGTCCATTCATTTCATTCATTTGGTTGCAGGTACCGACGCAGACGTTCACCCACCATCCTCCCCACCACCACCAGGTTGGCCCTGTTCAGGGGGAAGGCTCCCCTGCCTTCATCCAAGGCAGTCACAGCTGGATCTAAAAGCTTCCAAATCAAGCTACGGACAGGGCCTCCACCAAAGAAATCCTTCGTTTTGTTAAATGATCTTTTGTCAAATAATACTCATCAATAAATGTAATTCAATATCATAATCGTCTCCCTGGTCTTCCTGGTAGAACTGTATAGTGGAGCATCTGCTAATCAACTGCTATAAAGGAAATTCTGAAATGTTACTGTGACATTTATACCACTTTACCAATCACACAGAGCTGTTTAAAATGATGCTAAACACGAAAGGGAAAAATTAAAGATTTATAAGAGACACCATATGAGAACTTGGAGATTCTGTGTGGAGGAGTGTTGGTGACCTGCTCTGGTAGAGAAGGTGAAGTAGATAGCAGAAAGGGGGCTCAGGGTGGGTGACTGAGACAACTGAACAGCTAGTTTCCAAGCTGATCATCTTCTCAGATTAGAAAGTTTATGGTTTTAGTGCCTGACAATTCTTTAGGTCTTGTCTCCTGGAATTCCATAAAGGTTCTCAGGGTCTAATATTACAGAGAGACTTAGCCATCCTTACACTACAGCAGTATGTGTACCTCATAGTTAATTTACTGCTAAAAAACTCAAAAAACATTTCTCAAATATTTTCTGGGACTGTCTCGGCCAAAATGAGGAGATCACTGCTCTCTATATCAGACAGTCAGTGCACGCACTCAATGTGGTCTATCTGGGACTGCTGGGACATGATGAGGGTGCTGCCAGGCCCTGGAGACTGATACCATATGTGTAAGACAAAATCATGCTGGAACAACCTGCTCTATCCTGGAGACAGAAATCGAGCACCTGAAGCGGCGGTGAAGCAGAACATGAGTCAGCTCAGGGGATACTGAGAAAACGTGGGACAGACTTAGAATAATATTTCTGGCAAGATAGAAATGTTGCTACACAAGTGAAACTTTCCTCATTTTAAACAGAATGTAAAACGTCAATGGTAAAACAATTATTGCTCTTCCGATTTGGAGCAGTTTGGGTCACAGTAAACACTAAAAAACAAATAGCATTTTTAACAATAATCAGTGGCTGTTATGCAAAAAATCATTATTACTATTGTTAATGTTACAGGATAGAGAGCTAAACAAGCACATATTAAACTTTAGCTAGCATGTTGACTGTGATCGTCTCTGATATGGACAGGACATGTTGGCAGACTCTGCATTGATGGCCTAATGGGCAGTGAGCCTAAATATAGTGCCTTTGGCCATCAAGTCCGAGCTAGTGGAACTATGAACGTGAGTACTAAATAACTCCATGTACGAGACACTAATTTCACACCACCGCCATTTAAAAAAGAAAGTGAGGTTGTGGTGGGAAGAAACCCGAAAGAAGAAAACCAGCACTGTAATCAATGCAACAACATGGTGTGGACTACAAAACATCCAGCTGTTGCCACAATTTCAAAGTGCAGATATAATGTAAACATCAACTTAATATCATTCAGTTAAGTTTAATTTAAACAGTTAAAAGCATATTAGGCATCTAAGAAAATCATAAATGTCCTCCCAGGCTTCAGTTCATGGAACCAGGTAAACACCATAGGGGTACTTCCCTGTTTCTGCCTATGTGAGCAACAAAACAATGCAGCCCACGTGTTGTCTGTAATAGTGTTGTCACGATACTGAAAATTTTAAAACGTCCATTTCTCGATAACATTTAAGCTCGTTCATATACACTACTAATTTGCCATGACTGATTGCCCGTGAAGGTCATCAGTTCACCGCTCGTCACCGAATGCAAACACATGGGCACTGGAGCGATTTAAAGCCATGAAGATTCATCAGCAGATCGCTTGTCTGTGTTTAAACTTGGTAAACATTGGTGAAGTGCAGTGAACTGATGGCCTGCACGACCAATTACTGTCATTTCTGTTGAGCATGTGAACACATTTGCACATGAGTGGTTTTTAAGAACGTGCTCAACAGCGCTTAAATCTTAGCAGGAAATGGACGTTTTTTTCATTTCAGTAGAATAGTAAAGAATTAGTCGATTAACTTGACTTTGATAATAGCATCTAAAACATATGTTTGGGAAAGATAACGTTAGCTAAATAGTGCAATTTTCCTTAATTTAGCTTAAAATGAGGTCTGATATTCCTTTTTATTTTTAATATCCTTTCAGAACGGACATTCCGGTCACTCAGAAAGCAGTGAAAAGATACATTTGTCTTACTTTTTTTTCACTTATAATCCAGGTACATAACAATACGCCATAGCAGACGCCGTTCCTGTGTGACGTCAGGCAATACTTTAAGGTTTCTTCCCACAGTAAGTTAAACAGTCAATTGTGTAGTGCTACAGCCTCTGCCAACACCTTTCCCCAGGTCCTAATGCTCACCTGGTAACATGACTGATTCATATGCGGGCACTTTAAAACTAGAAAAATTGGGTTGTTTTGCGCATTTATGGCTTGAGGTGGGGGAATGGGGTTGGGGCGAAGTCGCAATCTGGTTGGGGGAGTGGGGGATGGGGGAAACTGAAGACTGGGGTCCCTGGTGAGTCCTACCAAGGTCGGTGATCTGAGCTGAGGAGGGGATTTAAATTCCAGGAGTTTTCCAGAAGACAGATCAAAACAAAAGATGGGTCTGAAATACAGGAGACTCCTGGAAAAAATGGGAGTGTTGGCAGGTATGGTCCTGTGTATATGACAACCCCCATGATTCACGGCACCATCAAGCTAAATCTTAAGCCATCAAGCTAAAACTTTAGCAGTAAAACTTACTTATTTTTCCTTTAAAACATGCTTTTTTTTAAAGAAATAAAATTGAAAAATGCAGTACTAAATTAAAAAAGAGCATTTATTGTGTTTCATAACTAATGTTCAATGTCATTTCCAAGTCCATCCCTAATGTGTCCTAAAACCGCGACTATCTATCTTCTATGCTCTTTAAAGGCCTCATCTGCATGCAATTCCTCTCTGGACCTCTGCCTGCATTAGGCTGTAGTTTTGAGGTTAGCTTTGATCATTCGGTGAGCTCAGGCTCCAGCGGGCTGAGGGGTTATGTTTAATCTCATTGCCTGTCTCCATTACAGACAGAATTATACTTGAAGGTGTGCTGCTCAGCTCAGAACGAAAGAAGAAAACAAGGGCTAAAAAATATTACGACTTCAGAAAAATAACAACAGGTAACTGAGTTCCCAACAGGTGTCAAAGTGCCCAGCAGTCTTACCTGTAAAAGCCAGTAGCACCTGCGGTGGAAGGTGGGGATGATGGAGGAGTGAACGTAACAGCCATATAGACACTGTGGAAAGAGATAAAATACAGAAACACATGGTCAGTAGAGAAAACAAAGAAACACAACTGTAATGTCAAAATGATCGGAGCTTCAGAATAGCATAATTATAAAGATAATGATGACACTATTACAGTTCACATCAATGCACAGTAACATTCATTATAAGTGTGTGCTGCATTTCTCTTGCTGTCGCTTTAATTGCTTGAGGTTGTTAAAGTAAGATGGATTCTGATTGGCTGTCAATGTTCAGATAGGTTAAAAAAAACTCCTCTAATGATATTGTTCTTCTGTGTTATCATCATAGGAGTAGTATATATTCTTTTATAATATGATGTTTAGAACTAGGGCGCTGGTTCGAGCCTCGGCTAGGTCAGTTGGGATTTTTTGTGTGGAGTTTGCATGTTCTTCTCGCGTACGCGTGGGTTTCCTCCGAGTGCTCTGGCTTCCCCCACTGTCCAAAGACACTGGGGTACAGGTAAAGTGAATTGAATAAGCTAAACTGTCTGTAGTGTATGAGTGTGAATGAGTGTGTATGGAGGTTTCCAAGTGATGGGTTGCAGCTGGAAGGGCATACGCTGCGTAAAACATATGCTGGATAAGTTGGCGGTTCATTCCACTGTGGCGACCTCGGATTAATAAAGTGACGAAGCCGAAAAGAAAATAAATGAATTAATGTTTAGAACTATTTTGTTTTATCAATTAGATATTATGCTTAGTCTAAATGAGTCTTTACATGTGCTTTAAACACTAAAACAACTAAAACATTTTTTAGATTTTAATCTTTTTACATTTTAACATTTTTACATGACATTTTTGGCATTTAAATAAATTAATGAGTCATGTATTGAATTAATTTGTTTAAAAAAAAACTATATACTGTACTATAACAAAATCCTTCAATTTCATATAAATGCTTCTGTTTCATTTCTATTTGTAGTCAATTTTGAAATACTAAGCACCACAACTGTTTAGCTTTAATATTAGGAAACGTTTCATAATAATTAGATTGATTTTTTAAGGATCATGTGATTGAATACTAAAATATATTAGAAGAAACTTTTACCTTTACTTATAATCACAGCTTTTTATGATCAAACAAATGCAGCCATGACAGATATAAGGTCCCATGAAGTGCTTTGAAAAGTGCAATTTTATTCGATGTTTGACATAATCTCAACTAAAACAAGAAAAGAGGGTGAGACATAGTGTAGCCCCTCCCCTTAAAAAAAACAGTCAACAGCATTTTTATATTATCCCTATTCTGCCAGCGTCTTAAAGGGAGGGGGTCAAGTTTATTAAAAGGCATATGATTGGTTATGGTTTGATGAGAAACTGTAGTTTGAGGTGACGTGAAGTAAAATTTTTTTTTGCTCTATATAGGCAGAAGTGACAAACTACAAGCTTTATGTGTTTATATCAGTTTTAGATCATCTAAATGTGAATTTTGTCATTGTTTTGGCGCACAATAGCTTATAGATATCTTAAAAACTAACAATACTCATACTAAAAGCCAGCACTTTTAATGGTAGTGATTACTCGTTTGGTATTGGTAAACAGTGTATAATCCAGTGAGCCAGCACTCATTTTTGGGGATTTACACCTACCTAATTTTAACTGGTAACAGTTCTTGACTCCAGTAAGCTACAAACACAAATTAGATATCGTTGGAAAAAAGGCACTTTGGGCTTTACTGTAGTAAAAGGGGAACATTTATGCTCAAAATATAAAACGATATACATTATGAAATCATGAGAATTATTTTTATTGTGTTTAATATTAGTTTTTCATAAACAAACACAGAAAAATATTAATGTAATGGCCTAGATATTGAAAGCCTCACATCTCCTCACTATATTTTTTACATTTTATTGCCAATATCATGCAAAAATCCCACTTTAAGTTCCCCACAAACACTGTTGGCATCAGTGACCCGTACAGGTTGAGGGGTCAACTCTTGCTCGTGTGGCCAGAGAATGGACAGAACACTCAGAGGTCTGCCAGGGCTGAAATGGGTCATGTGATTTTCAGAAGACATCTGTGATGCTGTGCTGTTGCTGGGTGCCAGATTTCTGCCCAAACATATTGTTTGCAAGCACTCAACCCAAAGAGCTTGGTTCTTTCTGGAATAAATCAAATATCCATTTCTATGGTTACGGCTCCTCTACAATGCACACGGGGAATATTTATTTACCTGTGGAGAATTGGAAAACAAAGCAGTCTTGGTGCATTCACACACACACGCACACACATATCTGAATGGATGTATGCACACATGTACACACATGCCTGAAGATAAAAACACAAACACACACACACACACACATACACACACACATACACACAAACCACGCACTATGAAATAATGGATTTTTTGAAGTTCTATAGGAAGGTTAAGGGCACCGTTATACTACAATGACAAGCTAATGTGGAATACGATTAAGACTGTGTCCAAAATTGTTTGTCTGAATCTACACCAAAGTTAAAATCACAAAGTGTGCAAATGAAAATTATAGTTCAATCCAAAGCAGGTCTTTCTATACCATTCTCCAATACCTTTGCGAGAGCTCTACAGAAGATCAGAGGCCTGGCAATACCTAACATGGAACAGACAGTAGTATACATAGATAGGAAAAGGATCAAAGATTGAAAAAAAAAAAACAAGTCTCAGCAGGAAGAACTCGTTCTCCTATGGTTTGCAGGGTTGTGTCTATGAAATCATATATTTTTATATAGTGCAATGATTCTTGAGTAAACATTAAATCAAAAACATAGTCGATATGTTTGGCATGGCATACCTGCACACTAGTCTTTCTATTTTGAGGATATATAGTTTATACTAAAGGTTGTAGCATCGGTATTAACATACCACACAATGAGCTCATATTGACCTTAAATATGAATACAGAATCTATTACCCTGTGTATGTTTTTCCATAGTTTGTCAATATATGTGCACAGAATCCCTTTGGTAAGCTTACATTTACCAAAATAATCAGTACAAGACAGAACTGATAAATTGATAGTGCATCCTACAAAGCAAAGCACTTTTCATGTAATGAATAGTCACATTTGCATTTTTTTAATCATTGAATCTGTTTGCTGGTGACAAGGTGGCTCACTAGTTAGCACTGTCACCTCACAGCAAGGTTGCTTGTTCAAGCCCCAGCTGGGTCAGTTAACATTTCTATGTGGAGTTTGCATGATCTCATGTGTTCGCGTGGGTTTCCTCCGAGGGCTCTGGTTTCTCCCACAGTCCAAAGACATGCGCTATGGGTGACTTGGGTGAACTAAACTGGCCACAATATATGTTTGTGAATGAGTGTATATAGGTGTTTCCTAGTATCACTGCTGTGGCGACCTCTGATGAATAAAGGGACTAAGTCGAAGGAAAACAATTGAATGAATGAATCTGATTGACAGATATATTGCACAATTTTAAAGTAGTTAACACTATAATACTAGTATTTTTCTTTAGCTGAAAAAAAAAATATTTCTACATAAACATTCTGCAGCATATAATATATCAACATTAATCCTAATATAACATCTTCCTTGACTAAAAGCATACAATATAAATAAGTGTAAAACTGTAAAAAAATAAAAAAACATTTTAATCATAACTTATTTTACTCAAAATATAACTTGCACATAGTCTCATCGCAAGGAATGCAATGTTGAATTTTGGTTGGAGATAACCAGGAGCTACTTTAATCTTCAGAATATATGAGAGTTGTGTCGTTTTTGCAGAATTGAACCATAATGTAGTGACGGTTTATCATTTGCTCATGTTTTTAAGGCCTGACAGAGTTCAAAGTATTCAGGCTCCAGAAAGTTCACTATTTGTAACTTTAATAAGGGAAAAAAATCCTGAATTATTAATACAGTACAGGCTTTTGCTGTGTTATTTTACATTTGATTTTTTTAAAACCCTGTACCTGAACACTGTTTGACAGTTTGAATATAACTGGCATTTTAATTTTAATTGTCAAATTAACAACAATAATTTTATAATTGTATCTTTCTTTCTTCCTTTCTTCCTTTCTTCCTTTCTTTCTTTCTTTCTTTCTTTCTTTCTTTCTTTCTTTCTTTCTTTCTTTCTTTCTTTCTTTTAGTTAGTTTTCCAACATTGAATTAATTGGCAATTTTGAAGTTATAACAAGAAATGAAGCTGAAAATTCAGTTTTGAATCACAAATTAAAATTTAAAGCAATTATTCCCAGCATAACTGTTTTACAGCATCTTTGCACAAATATTTGTGAGCATAAAACACTTTTGAAAAAAAAAAATTGATAGTGCTAACATGCTAGCAACAGTTTTTGTGCTCTACCTTTTTTGAACTTCTAGGCGCTTGCCGAAATCAAAGTAATGTAACGTAATGTGTATTTGTATAGTGTATTTATTGTGAATGGTCATATAACGCTTCACAATCATGAGGGGGTCCCTCCACACCACCACCAGTGTGCAGCATCCACTAGGATGATGCGATGGCAGCCACAGTGCGCACCACACACCAGCTATTGGTGGGGTGGAGAGACAGTGATATAGCCAATTCGGTGATTGGGAGGTCATGATAAATAACAGCTAATACAGGGAATTTGTGGGGGGAATAGATGGCGGGGCATTGGATGGCGAAAGGGTGTCGCAGACGAAAGTGAAGCGGGGGGAGGGGGGTGTTGGGGTTATTGCGGATAAAAGTGAAGAGGGTTAGGGAGTCTCGGAAGAAAGAGAAAGTGAACAGCGGGCGGGGGAGGAGGGCGGTTGGTAAAATTAGGATCCCGCACAAACTATGTTCTGAATTTTACTTTACTGGGGGATTAGGACTTACAAAGACCACAGGTTGAGCGCCCCCTGCTGGCCTCACTAACATGACTTCCAACAGCAACCTAGTTTTCCCATGTGGTCTCCCATCCAGGTACTGACCAGGCTCAGCCCTGCTTAAAGTGAGTCACCAGTCTTGGGCTGCATGGTGATATGGCTGTGGCTACATCAAATATGCAATGTAGTACA